CCCCCCGGCCTTCTTTTCCTTCTTCCCATTCGAACTTTATAGATCCGTTCCCTTTCAGACAGAACGCAGCTTATTCCTCTGGATCTCCTAGCATAACTAAACCCGCCCGTCGCCTCCACAATGTAGACCATGATGCTGGGGTTATCAATTTCTTGGGCCCTTCTGCATGGGCAGCAATCGTAACCATCTGAGACTCGACTTTCGAAACATAGCAGTAACAGGATGTATGTCTGGGACCGGGTGCACTCCACAACAATTAGCATGTTGTGGCTGGAATATGCAGGGCAGGGAGGAGAGGGGATGAAGGGGGCGGGAGGGTGCTAGATAGAGGATAGGAAAGGGGATATGAGGGGAATTGAGAGATTATATAAATCTGTTTCCAAGACGGGAGTAAGTAGAAAAGTAGTCCCAACCGCGCCAATCCAAGAGAGGCAATTGAATGTCAATTTGACCCTGATGAGGATCCATTATACAGGATGTAGTAGAATCATCAAACGCCGTGCCCAATGCATGACAGTTACGTCTATATAATACAGTCTCCGCCCCAAAGCGTACTATCATGACCGTCTGGTTATAAAAGAAAACCAGCCTCCAGACTTCGGGGATTCTTCCCCGGACTTAGAATCATCTGTCGAAACTCCTATCCGGTCTAGAGGGCCACCGGTTCGTTGTCTCTCCTTCTCGTTCTCAAAGGCTTGCTTGGCCTTATCCGCTATAGTCATCTTCTTCTCGTCAATTGCCTTCATGACCTCACCCTCTACCTTCACTAATGAATCGGCTGCTTCTTTTGGTGCCTCAACTCCCAGAGTGGCCTGGCTAATCGCTGCATCATCAGCCCCCTCCTCTTTCTTCAGGCCCGAGAACAGCCATTCTGATCCCTTCTTGAAAATGCCCTTCTTCTGTTCCTTCTCAGCCTTCAGTGCTTCCACCCGGGCCTTCTCTGCATTATCCATATTTAGAAAGTTGATCTGGGCTTCCGTCGCGGTACCAGATGCCAATGCCTCTTTTGCCGTATGGATAGCGGCATCGTACTGAGCTTTCTGCTCCGCGAAGAACTCGGCGCGTTTCCGACGGTTGTAGATCATCATGTCTGTCAAGGCGTATACTGTGATGCCACCCGCAATAACTGTACCTCCGAGTCAATATTTGGTCTACTAAATCAAGCTCTCATCGCCACTCAATTGGGATCAGGAGAGGATGCCATACAAGTAGCCCCGATCAAACTCAGCGCCGTAAACCGATGGGCTTTGTCTGCCCAGACCCGCCCCCTCAGGATCAACTTATCAAGCGTCGAGACCTGTGCATTTCGAGCAGCGTCCGCAGCGGCTCTAAGTCTCCTAACCTTCTCTTGTGGTGTTTCCCCTGGCGGCCCTGGTTTCCTTGGTGGTGCAGAATTCGCTTTCACGGCCGACGGGTGGAACTTCGCCGACGCGTGCGGTGTGGTGGATGTAAAGCGCGTGGCATCTGCTGCTGATCGAGACATCTTGGTCAAGGCCAGGAACCGTAATGGCCGAAGAGAACTCTTGAAAGGGGGAAGAAATTGAAGTGGTGAATATTTCGGGGTTCGATTGCATGATCCGGACCACGTCCGTGAGAATTTTTAGCGGCGGATGGTTCCGCCCTGTTATATCAAGTGAAGCTTTGAAGCTTTGGAAACAACATATCTTTGGTTCTACTCGCCCACCAACTTTGACATATTGAAACAGTGGGTGGGAGAAGTGAAAAGAAGCTTATGCGGAGCTGTGAGAATATTATTGGCTCCATGCCCGTGGGACTGCTCGGTATGATCGTTGTGCGATCTTCAACTCTCCTAGATATCTGAGATCCAGATACTCACGTTCTGGACCACAGGTCTTGCTTGTCAATTATGTCTTCCAACAATACACCAGATCTTGCCTCGGTATTAAGAACTCTAGCTGGTCTTGCCCCTCAGAATCAACACCAGGGTCATGCTACACATCAAATTAATCCACAGGCACCTCACCATTTTCAGCCTCCCCCTCAGCAGGCGTGGCCACAAAATTCTCTAGCATCTTCGAGTAATCAGAATGCTACACCGGCGAGTGCCACGAAAATCGTCGATCCTGCCACTATTATTGACTGGTCATCGGGTCTAAGATGTGTGATGAAGACTGTTGCAAAGCATGAGAACATGCTACAGGACATTCGGCGTGTAAGCTATTTTGTCCATATCTAGTGACAGCATTGCTCATTCTCTGTAGATGATCAAGGTCCAGCACGAGCATGAAGAACAGTGGTGGAAAGGCCGTCAAGCTCTCCGGGAGAGACAAGAGGCAAGAAAGGAGGGCCAGAAGAAATTGGACGATGTCCTGTAAGTCTAGGCAACCGTACCTTGGATCAAGTGAGGCATATTGATGGTCTTAGGAAACTGGTTGGTGGAGCTGTCTCGGCAGGTTCATCGAATACCACCCCGGAAGAGATGGCCAAGGAACTCGAGACTTATGACATGAAGGTCTACAAGGCCCAGATGCAGATGGTGAGGGAGATGACGGCCAGGCTACGAAGCCTAGGTGTTCCCTTCTTTGGGACGAGGACTGAGCTGGTAAGGATCAATGGGAAAGGGGGAGCAGAAGAGGGACGGTCAGCTGGTGGGAAGGGCGAGGATGGGATGATTGACGAAATTGAGCTGGTGAAGCTACAGAAGAAGATGCTTGCACTATTGGAAGATCTCTGTAGTGAATGAGGCAAAGCATACAGATGATTGTAATGGCAGATACTGCCTCTGAAATCCAAGCAGTATTACCTGTGTCTCGAATTACTTTGGCAGCATGCAGTATTAGGAATGATAACTGTAGCTGCAAACAACTATAGTTAGGTAGAAGATACCTCGAAAAGGATCATGGGATTGATCACGAGATTCACAGGCGGGTGTCAAACCACGGTACCTATGTTCTGGGCATTGATATTCTGAAGGAGTTGTTTCTTGTCCACCAAAGGACCGTGTGCTATTGTTATCTCATAATCTACCTTTTATAGGGTACCTACAGAGTAGGGATGAAAGTACTCGACGAAGCCTCATCCCCTTCTCTCACAGTGTAAGATCACGTGCACGGCCCGCGCCCGCCATCCGCGCGACTTCCTAATCCTCTCACTTCCACCCAGAAAATGCGACATGCAACAAGACTTTCCTCGTCCTCACCTTTGCCTCCGTTAATCACCATTATAAGAGGATTATCAACATCAAGAGGATTAGCCATGGATGCAACTCATCGGTGGATGCATTCAGATCTTTCTCACTTTCTCAACAGATATTCCTAGGTTTCTCTCTTTTTCTCTTCCTCTTTCTCTCTTGCGCTCCGCTCGCCCATGGCCTCTTTCCGCGGGGCGGGGGCTACAGCGGAGTGCGACGTGCAACAAAGCCTCGCAGGACTCAACTGTCGGATAAGGATTTACGCAGCCGGGCGCCGCTGATTCGTGCAATCATCTCCCGATCCCTTTTCCGACGCCCGCTGCCGACATGCGGCGACTATAGCTACCAGGAGCAGGTCGGGAACTTCACTTGGAGCTCCCAGCATTATCAAGAGCATCTTTCTTCCTCTTCCCTCTCTATCGAGTAGAGTAGTTTGTATATATTATCTCTTCTCTCTCTTTCAATCTCCCAAGCGTCATCCGCTTTATGAAAGTACTGCTTGTTGATTTATTGTCTTATTGATATCCCATCCACCGGACAACCCCCCCGGACGACCTCCTCAAAATGTCAGGACCCATTCGCAAAGGTCTGAAAGAGATCCTGAGAAAGGACCCTTCAGATATCGTTATCCTCTCGTCTCTCCGTACCCCCATCACCCGCTCCTACAAGGGACAGCTCAAGGATGCCTATCCCGAAGAGCTCCTCGCAAGCGTCTTGAAAGCGACGCTCGCAGCGAACCCCAACCTCGACCCTGCACTCATTCAAGATGTCGGCATTGGAGTTGTTTTGTCTGAGCTCGGTGGTTCCAAGGCAGGCCGTATGGCAATGAACCATGTCGGGGTCCCTACAAGCACATCCTTCTACACTGTCAACCGAGCCTGCTCCAGTGGTCTCAGCGCGATCACGAACGTCTCACATCAAATAGCAACCGGCATGATCGACATTGGTATTGGTGGTGGAATGGAGAGCATGACACGGAATTACGGATCGAGGGCTATCCCCACGGTATTGTGGCCGGAATTGAAGAACAGTGAGGTGAAGGATGCCCGAGACTGTATCATGCCTATGGGACTCACAAGTGAGAATGTGGCGGAGCGGTACGGGGTGAGCAGAGCGGACCAGGATGCCTTTGCGGTGTTGTCGCATCAGAAGGCTGCGAAAGCCCAGGCCGAGGGCCTCTTTGACAAGGAGATCATCCCCGTCACCACGAGATACCAGGAGGTCAACAAGGCCGGAGAGAAGGTCGGCGAGGAGCAGCAGGTCACAGTCACGAAGGATGACGGGATCAGAGCAAATGCTAGCATTGAGGGTATGGCGAAGCTGAAGCCAGCATTCAAGGAGAACGGGACGTCGACCGCCGGAAACTCCTCCCAGATCTCAGACGGTGCCGCCGCAACGCTGCTCATGCGGAGAAGCACCGCTACCGAGCTGGGTCTCACCTCCTCGATCATCGGGAAGTGGGCCGGGACCCAGGTGGCTGGTTGCAAACCGGATGAGATGGGAATCGGGCCTGCGATCGCGATCCCCAAGCTGCTGGAGTACACTGGCTTGAAGACGGAGGATGTTGGACTGTGGGAGATCAACGAGGCGTTTGCTAGTCAGGCCATCTACTGCTTGAGACAGCTCGGTCTCGAGAAGCAATTGGAAGAGGGCAGAGTCAACCCTAAGGGTGGTGCCATCGCTCTGGGTCACCCTCTCGGAGCAACTGGTGCTAGAATGGTTGCTGGCCTGCTGCCCGAGTTGGAGAGACAGGGTCTGCAGACCGGGGTGGTCAGTATGTGCATTGGCACGGGTATGGGAATGGCTGGCCTGTTTGTCAGAGAATAAGTAGCAGAAGGGGTCTTGTATAAAAGAAAAAACATTCGGATCATCAAAATTCCCTTGTCATGAGAGAAAGAATCTATTAAATAATAAAAGCCGCGCCAGATGATAGCGAACAGCTACATTAAAGATAACCCAACACCGAGCGCCATGCTTGCCGAGGTCGAGGTGCTACACAATGCAATCCCGAAGAGGCGGGAGACCTTTCATCACACCCATGATAACATGGCAAATTAATCTAGTCATCAAGACGTAATAATGTGACTGAAGTGACCAGGAACCTTATTCCGGCATTTCTCACAATCTGCCCGGTATCCCAGGGTGAAAGTCCTCTTCATACCGACTCCAAGTTCCCCACCACCGGTCCAACTCCTGAGACTATGCTTTGACCGGGTATGCCCTTTCTTTGTTGGCGTCTCCCTTCCCGATTCAGACTCAACGTCCATTTGCATGCCACCAAGCCCATCCGTGATGATACTTGGGCTCATCTCACCCTCACTTATAGGGCTTGGTAGTCTTCGACCTCGGCGGAACCTTTCGACCAGCGCCTCGTCGTCTGCGAAATCGGGGTCGCTGTGGCGGAAGGTTTTCTCGGCACGTATGTGGGTTGCGAATGAGCTATGGATCGGTGTTGGGACACGTCCGGATAAGCTGGTTGCCGGATCATTGCGATACGGGGCCGGTGAGAGGTGGCTTGAGTCGGCCATCTCATAGTCATCGGAATAGACGGCCACGTCGGACATGTGGCTGGATTGGGAGCTGTTTGCAGCACCCACACATGGTGAGCTAGGCGGGAATGTGCCAGACGGAGAGGAGGAATATGGCGAGAAGAAGGACTTCGGCTCCGTAGTAGTCCTGGGGGTCTCTTCTGAGTCGGAATCGGCGGGTGTGATGGTTGGAGGGACAGACGGCGGTGTGAAGTTCGTGACAAAGGGAGAGATTTGACGCGTCGGTCTGGGCGAGGTCCGATCAGGAAGAGTAGCTATTCGACGTTTCTTGGAAGACGCCGACATCAGTCCTGTAGCTTGATGGGCATACCCAAGGGGAGCCTCACCATACGATGCTCACTGAAGCCTGAAACACTGCCATCATCCGCCTGGTCCCTTTCACGCTTTCTGTTGTTCCACTGCGGTACAAACATGTTGCTTTCCAGTGGTATCCGACAGCCTACCTCAAGATCTCTGTTGCGTTGCCGTTGTGCTAAGTTGAAGTGGTAAGTAGTGAGTGACAAGGCTGGTGGCTCCTGCGGGCGGCGACTGGTCGATGGATAAGCGATTCAGATAGAAGCCCAGAGATACCCTGCGTAATATTGTATCTCCGCATTCATGAAGGTACGGAGTTGAGTATTTATCATAGGGAGATTGATAAGGCGAGTTCCAGGGCTGCTTCACGAAGGATGGGTGCAGGGTTTTGGTGTTTGGGATGAAGCTCGAGGGATCGAGGGTTCAAACTTCAAGGGATCGAGCCTGGGGGAGGTTTCCCGGTCCACGGCTTCAGGCGAGGCTGTCAACTTTCTCAGAAGCAGTTAGAGCCTGAGGCAAGCACCACGGTCCGAACGGACGCTTAGCGAGTACGAGTAAGGCTTTAGACCCTTGATGCCTTACTTTAGTGCCCAGGCTCTGCCGCCACAGTCAGCTCGCACGTGATCTCCGGCTCCCTCTCCGGGGCTAGCCCCAGCCCGTGACCAATGACCGAGGTTTGATAGGTAGGTAGGTGCGTTGATAGGTGGACCGAGCGAAATAATTTGTTTGCCCCCGCCATTCTTTGCAGCATATCACATTAGAGTTGACTCACCCTCTTTTGTATATTTCAATATCCACAAAAGAGACCTCGTCTCTCATTCTTCCCTTCTCTTCTGGAATCAATTGTTTCCCATTTTCCGGCAACTGAACAGCCTCACGAATATGCCTGGTCTAGACATGGAACCCTTCGTTACCGATGATACTCGAAGTATGACCCCCACCATCAACTGCGCCGATGTAGGATACACCGCAATTCGGAAGAGTCGAACTGACAATTGCTTTTCAAAACAGTCCTGGGTCAGGATCCCCTGATTCCACCCCAATTATTGCTCTCCGAGATCCCAATTACGGATGCCTCCCTCAAGACCGTAGTTCAAGGTCGTAAAGATGCCATCGAGATTATCATGGGCAGATCTGACCGCCTCCTGGTCGTCTGCGGTCCCTGCTCTCTCCACGACCCAGCCACTGCTATCGAGTATGCCTCTCGATTAAAGAAACTTTCAGAGAAGCTCTCGGACGACCTCTGCATCATCATGCGTGCCTACCTTGAGAAGCCCCGCACGACTGTCGGCTGGAAGGGTTTGATCAACGACCCTGACATCGATGAGTCTTTCAAGATCAACAAAGGATTAAGGATCAGCCGTCAACTTTTCTGCGACCTCACCACCAGCGGCATGCCAATTGCCTCGGAAATGCTGGACACGATCTCCCCTCAATTCCTCGCAGACCTCATCTCTCTCGGTGCTATTGGTGCCAGAACCACTGAGTCCCAATTGCATCGCGAGCTTGCCTCCGGTCTTTCTTTCCCAGTCGGATTCAAGAACGGTACAGATGGTAGCTTGACAGTTGCAATTGATGCCATTGGCTCTGCTGCTTCAAAGCACCACTTCATGGGTGTCACGAAACAAGGTCTGGCAGCAATCACCCGGACGAGCGGCAATGAACATGGTTTCGTCATTCTGCGTGGCGGTACCAAAGGTACAAACTACGATGCAGAGAGCGTCAAGATTACCAAGGAGACCCTGCAGAAGAAGGGTCAGAAGCAAGCCATCATGATCGACTGCTCACATGGTGAGTCCTATAAAACTGGTAGTAGAATATTTGACTAACGACAGTAGGCAATTCGAACAAGGATCATCGCAACCAGCCAAAGGTTGCAAAAGTGATCGGCGAGCAACTTCGTGCCGGTGAAACTTCTATCATCGGTGTTATGATCGAGTCCAACATCAACGAGGGCAACCAAAAGGTACCACCTGAGGGACCTTCAGGTTTGAAGAAGGGGGTCAGCATTACCGATGCCTGCATCAACTGGGAGACTACGGTTGAGGTTCTTGAGGGTTTGGCAGAATCGGTAAGAGAGAGGCGCAAGGTGATTGCCGCCAATGGCAACAGCAATTAAGCTGGGTTTGGGAAGTACGATTGGATGGATGTGTGGTTCTGGGAGGGTCATCGCGCGGCGTTTGGAGGACTTTCACTTTGAAATACATTAGAACAATTTTTGCGTGTGGGGTTTGAACAGATGAACTCTGCCGCATTTGGAAGACAAAAGCTTGAGTGGAATTTCAGGGGCTCAACTCTCCTTGGTCAATCATTATCAGTTCGGGTCGCATTTTCTTAATAGAGATAGATAGATAGTCTAGATGCTGCACCAAGCGGCCTCGCGGATTCTTGGAAATTTCAAAGATTTCCCAGAGAAAAGTCTTTCTAGTTCTATTGACCCCTCCATCACGCTCATAGTCTGCTGATCTTCGACATATCGTCCTGTAAAATAGGTGTCGAGACGATCCCCTCTGTAACGCCCTTCACAAGCCTGATGTTCACATAATTCTCATCTGGGCTCGGCCAGGAGTAATCCTTCCACTTGCCCAAAATCTCCCAAACGCCCTTCGCCAAGCTTGCAATGTGCTTCCTTCTCTGTATGCTCCATTCCCTCTTTTCCTGGTCCACCGACCCCTCTCTGCCGGGTAACCCATCCAAAACGCTATTCCAAACTCTCATGGTCTCTTCCAATTCCTCCAGATTACTAACCCCCATCACAGAAACTCCAAGGCCTCCAACCCCGCCCACCACGGCACCCTCTTTTGCCCACCTCTCCAACCCCCATCTGATAGCCACGACCTCCAGGCGTTCCCCTTGCCCCTCCACGAACTCCGCCGCTTGCATGACCACCTTCCGCAACTCGCTTGGCGCCGGGTGGAAATCCCCTCCTGCACCCACCGGCACGCCCTGCGATCTCAACAAGCCCATGCCCAGCACACTCGCGTTCGGGACGACACTCACGCCAGCCCTGCGCAACCTCTGCACGCCCTGCGTCAACAGCGTGGTATTCTGCAACGTGAAATTCGCATAGCTCTGCACGACATCCAGCGGCTCGCCCGTCTCCCTCAGCACCAGCTCCGCGAGCTCGCACAGCAGCGGCACCGGATATCCCGAGATGCCGACATACCTGATGGCACCGGTAGTGTCGCGGATGCGCCGCAGCTCCTGCACCGCGATCAGGACCTCGGCGGGCGACACAAACTCTACGTCGTGGCAGTAGACAACGTCGAGGTAGGAGGTGTGCAGACGCTGTAGGCTGCGCTGGATTGAGTGCCGCACCCAGGCGGGCGAGTAGTCGAACTCGGCGCCGCCGATGCGGCCGACTTTGGTGAGGAGGATGTAGGAGGGGCGCGGGTGGTGGGCGCGCACGCTGGGCGTGGAGAGGGCATTGCCGAGGAGCTCTTCGGAGGGGCCGTAGTAGGGGGAGGTGTCGAAGGCGCGGACGCCGAGGGAGAGGGCGCGCTCGATGATCTGGTTTGTTGGCAGCGCGAGAGGATCGAGGTTATATTGGGTGTTGAAGGTCGCAGTCCCGCAGATTAGAGGGGGGAGGATATTCGCCAGTGGGGGTTGGGTGGGCGGCATTTTGAGATTCGAGCGAGACGCGGTGGGATTGCGGCAGATGAGGAAGAAAGACGAAGAACGCGTCAAGAACTGAATACAGGAGCTAGATGCTGCAAGAGAAAACAATATATCATTTTGCAAATATGGTGAAGGCTGTAAAGAATGGAAAGACACGTTGTGCCGGGCGTTGGTGGGATGTTTTGCCGCTTACTATTAATATTCACATGTGCAGCACGCCTTATACACTGATAAATCTGATAAATAGATAAAAACTTTAAAAGGTCCCTGCAGCGATTACCTAATATGCGAATGTACAGTACCTTGCCTTACCTTAAGGTGCCTTGCCTTGTTAAAGCCGCCCTCGACACCCTCAAGTTATAGCCATGTTCAGTTTCCTACGTTGTATACAGTACACCTGTGATGTGACATCTTCGTCTACCTACGTAGGTAAGGTATCTTACAGTTTTGTAAGAGAAGTACTGTTTAAGTGGCTCTACTTTACCTAATTTGCGAATAGGTAACAACGTAAAGATCTTTTGAACGCTCACATCATCATACCGTACCGTTACTTCTACAGTGATGTCTTCTCGCCGCACCTTGGCCGATGCCCGATTGCTTACCTATGTTGCGCAATCCCATGGGTGAGGTCTCGAAACCTCGTCCTCGACAAATAAAACTGGCCCGCCATCCCCTTGTGCAGCTCGTGAAAGCTTACAGGTCAAACCATCGACCACGTGACTTACCAATAACTGACCGCTTTGAGAATATGGCCGCCATTATGAAGACACGATACTTTCAGTAACCCAGAAGGACTCAAGTACTGGCCTTCTTCCGATAACTCAAATGATTGCCTCGAAGGAATCTCAGTTTTCTAGCTCCTGCGAACCCCCCCACCCTTAAGCGTCCCTGGCGTTTAGGTGCCTCGGGTGAAATCGCACATTCACCACGATGTGCTCAAGCTCCAAGAAGTCATGCCGGAGCTTGCGCGCCGCATCAAAGCCATTCCAATCGAACGATTCCGATATTTTGTCTAGTGGCACGTGTTGATCATATAAATCACGCCGGTGCGTTCGACTGCTCGAGATTACGGCGATGATTGAGCCGACTATGTATAGCTATGGTGACCTTATGGCGAAGGTCGAGAAATCATGCGTGCAGTTGAGCATCCTAGCCAAGGATAGAGATGAAGCACGCGAGTAGGTTGAGAGATACCGGCATCGCATACGCAAAGAAACCGAAGCAAGAGCGTTTTGAAAATGTCCCGAAAGAAATTAAGGAGAAAATGGCATCTTGAAGTACCTAATGCATCTGTGGTGGAGTTACCACGAAGGGGTATCATTTGCTTTCCGAAAGACTTTGATAATAAAGTCATTCTGAATCGGTATCTCCTCGTTCCCTTTGCAGAGGAAAGATTCGGAGAGGAACAACTAGATTCGAGGCTCACTAACGCCTTTCCATATTGTCAATTCCTGACCGCTGCCTCCTGAACCATTGGGAGGAAACCAAACTACAGAGATTTCGATAATTATAGAATGGAAATGAACGAGATGCAATAATATGTCTTGAGAATCTTGGGCCAGCAAGCAGGGAAATCCCAGATAGCTTGGGGACAGTAACCATACAGAAGCAGCCAACTTGGCGACTGTGTATATATTGAGGTAGCAAGAGAAGAGATGTGGTCAGGATTGAGAGCTTCAAACGGCTCAAGGCTCGCTCATGGCTCTGATCATGCCCCAGAAAACATCATAACCGAGGCAAGTCGTCCGCCAAGCACGGGAGAGTCAGCACAATAGGCATCATGAAAGCAGGTGTATTTGTTTCTTGCAGAAGCAATGTAAGCGCCAGGATCCCAAGAAGAGGAAGTCTAGGTCTGCTTCTACCCGTGCACTTATCTAAGGGGTCCACGGATGAGTAAACTTTCCGTGGCTATCGCGGATGTTGAACGGAAGCTAAAGCGATTTTACCAAGGCAAGGTACCGTACCTTACCAGATTTATCGTAATTACCGTATTATGTCCGCCCATGTGGAGCATCCACACAGGACTTGGCTATTATTGAGAGAAAATATAGGCCAAAGATACAGATATACGTATATCGTCTATATCCCTTTACATATCGCAGCAGCCTCGATCCAGCCTTTCTCGTCATCACTTTATTTTAAAGTCCCAACCTCTCCTTCTCGCTCACATTACATCCTCAGATCTTCTCCGCATCATCTATCAGACTATCCCCCGCCCAAGTATCCAACGCATTGTGGCCAGGCGACTCGAGACCATGCATGCAGGGTGCACCTGAGTGGATTGTTGGTTGCTGCCCGTCCGCCAGCTTGCCACAAGGGACAACTCTAGCTCAACCCTGCTCTGTTGCTCTGCTTGGCCCGTACAGCAGTATATCCCTTACCTTACCTTGCTTCCCCTCGCCCTCCCTCCCCAGCATTGGCAATCTATCTGGATCCGCTCCGCTCCGCTCGTGTGACCGACGTTGGCACTGCAGAGCTGTGGCTCAGGTCCTCAGGCGAACTCGGGATTCCCTCCCCGCAGCGGCTACGCTTGGCGAGACCAGCGACCGAGACGCCGCATAAATTCACGACTCTACGTCAACCTCGCATCCGGCCGCACCGTTCAAAACCTCCACCTTTTTTCGACCTTCGCGGGCGCAATCATTGACCCAGGATCTCGATGACCTGTTGATCTGGAATCTGCGCATCGCGTGTTTGCAGGATGGGCAATAACAGCACAAGGGAATCGCGGGGTCGGGAGTCGCCTTCTTCCCAAGGGGATCGACGGCATGGCTTGGGCAGTCGGACGAACTCCCCAGCGGACAGACACACTCCGCCCGTCTATGGCTCACGGGCTGCTGGAAGAGGTAGCAGGCCCGACCTCTCAGTGTTTGGTATTGGTACGGGCTTAAACACCAGTAACATACCGGAAAGGCGAGAAACGAAGCAGGAGAAGGAGGCCAGGAGGTTGGAGAGGGAGCGGCAGGCTAGGGTCGAGGAAAGGGAGCGGAGCATAAGGGAGGAACATGTCGATGGCGGATATCTAGTTACGATGGGTGTTTATACTGGGATCGAGGATTTCAACAAAGCCATCGTAAGACAGCTGATGGTATGTATGGACTGCGCTATCCTCGGCTCCAGTACTGACGTTTCTAGATTGAACGTCGAATTGCCCCATTTTGGCGTGGTCTGAACGACTTCAAGGAAGAATGGACTGAGCATCAATTGGTTGCAGCTGCCAGAGGTCTTCCGATCCCTGCTGCGGATGAGATACCTCAAGAAGAATCAACTAGACCCATCTCACCCGAATCTCCCCATACGTCGGATCCAAATCTCCAGAACTTGACGGCACCTATCTCATCACGATCCCAATCAGCGTCCTCGGAAGCTTCTGCGGCTCTCTCCCCATCGCACCCAGCATTCTCCGATCCTTCCAGTCCCTCCCCTTCTGCATCTACCACTCAGTCGTCTCCTTTACGACCACGAACAAAAATATTAGCGTCTCTAACTACGCCCTCGAAAGGTCCCCCGTCTATGGACATGGTGCCAAGAGAGATCCAGCTTCCTAAGGAACCTTCCGTCAATGGTCAGGCCATGGAAGCGTTCCTGTACAAGGATGCAACGGAATGCCCGATTTGCTTTCTGTATTACCCTCCGTACCTGAACAAAACCCGATGCTGTGATCAACCAATATGTTCCGAATGTTTCGTTCAAATCAAGAGACCAGACCCACACCCCCCAGAACATGAGCACCCCGATCCCTCGCGATCGGGAGCTCCATCTCCTGAGCCTCCCGCCGAATCGGAAGCATTAGTATCAGAACCAGCATGCTGTCCCTATTGCCAACAGCCGGAGTTCGGTGTCACATATGAGCCTCCGCCATTCAGAAGGGGTCTAGCATACCCTAGTCCGAATAATGGACTTGAAGTCTTGTCTCCGGCAATGTCATCATCCTCTTCCCTCAATACGCCAGGGAGTCCACCAACACTTTCACCGGGCCCACACAAGAGACGGACAACATCACTCTCAGCCAACGCTTCTACAGTTATCACAACAGACAGGGTCAGGCCGGACTGGGCAACAAAGCTTGCAAATGCCCGGTCCCATTTGGCTCGGCGGTCTGCAGCAGCCACAGCATTGCACACAGCTGCATACTTGATGGGGAATCCTAGCGGAGACAATCGTAGTTTTGGCTTCGCGAGCCGCAGTCGATTTGGTAGAAATCGTGGGGAGAATAGTCCAGGGCCTAGTGGATCGGCCACACCTTCTCACAATCCCCAAGAGCCAGCATCACAAGCGGTGACAGAACAAGCTTCCCCAGCACGGAGAGAAGGTCATGGAGGTACAAGGAGACGAAACCGAATGGATGATCTAGAGGAGATGATGATGATGGAGGCCATCAGATTAAGCTTGGCAGCCGAGGAGGAAAGGAAGAAGAAATCGGAGAAAGAAGCCGCCAAGGAGGCGAAGAAGAGAGCCAAAGCAGAAAAAAAGAAAGAGAAAATGGAAAAGAAAGGGGTATATGGGAGCGGAGCAAGCTCTGCGAGTGGGAGTGCGTTAAGCCTGTCACTGCCTGGGCTTGGTAGAAGGAGAGGTAACAGCACCGCATCCAGCTTAGCGAGGGAAGTCACTCCTGAAAACGCTGAAATTCCAGGGTCCAAGGGCAAAGCGGTAGATCGTGGCGTCGTAGGCGCTCCAGCTACATCAGCACCTATTGATTTTGCTCGAGCGGGGAGCAGTACCGTCCAGCACGGAATCACAGGGGCGCGACAGCTTGATAGGGGAGCTCCTGCTAATACTCAGGAGTCGCACCAACCATTATCATCTCCAACCGCCCCTGATAGGCCCTCTCATCTGCGCCAGATGAGTAACGCTTCCAGCCCAGCTTCCTCTTTTAACGAATCCATTCCAAGTAGCCTCCGCAATGATCCTCATCCCCGCGGCTCGTCATCGACCTTGGACACTCAGAATTCCCCTAATGGCAACACAGTTGGTAATAGGAGCAGTGTGCACGAAGGTGGTGATTCAAATGGAAGTGCAGGTTCCGAACCAATGTTCAATTTCCAAAGCCTGGCTGCTATGATCGGCAATGAAGATGGAGACAAGGCCGATGCAACCAAACATATTGAGCATGGTGAAAGTGGGGAGACTCCAGTAATGGGAGCCCAGGAGGAAAATTCAACTTCGGGATTGGAGGACAGTACTGCTACTTTGAGAGTAGATGGCTCCAATACAATGCGTATCGTTCCTCCAGATGTAGGGGCGGATAGGCAAACAACGATGCCTTGGACACCCCAAAGTACGGCGGCGCCCGAGCTAGTGATCACTCCTGGTACACCTGCTGCGATGAGCCATAGAGAGGAAGATGCGAAACAATTAGGTGCACGGGGAAACGCGGAAAGTACAAGGGAGATTGAGCAATGAGCTTCAAGCTAGCCTTTGCAATTGGCAATGCGATGACAATAGATGGCTGTATTAATGATCTTATAGGGTGCGCACGCGTTGGTTTTGCATGCCACAGAGGCTTCTGGCGTTATGGTCCTAGGAGACTTTTGGGTGGAGACGGCAGGCATATTCATTCGTAAGGCGAGGTAGGCGTACCAAATGGATGGCCTTATTATGCAGTCTTTGCTTGCTTGGGATGGGAATGGGGTTAGGAATAGATGGTATTCATAAGATTTGGCTCCTCTCACTATTCATCATGTCGTGTGTCGTAGGCCTGATGAACTGATACAAAGTCCTCAGATATAAGAGATTCCCAAGACCTGTGACCCTGACTACCTTTAATTACCTTAAGCTCCCGTTCATTCATTCAGGAGCCCGGAGAGGCCCTTGATCACATGATACGATACGAAATTAATGCGACAATAGATGGGGTTTTCACATTCCCATTCACAATCCGATCCTCATCAATATCGCAATCGCAAGGCACCTCCAACATACTGTATAACCAACTAATTGGCTGAGAATTGCCATCTTTTCGGTTATTGACAGGAGCCAGGCAATTGGTGTTGGAGGGGCAGCTCGATAGGCCAATATCGGAGGGCCGATGTTATCACCAGATAAGTAAGGTCCCGTACTGGACAGTGAAGAAAGTTACAGAGATATCTTTTTCTTTTCCCGTTCCAGAACATTGGTTACGCGTTGGCTTCCCTTTCCTTTCCTCTCCCTGCGATGAAAAGCCCAATCCGCCTCGGGGTGCTTGTCCCCTCCTCCAACACGGCTCTCGAGCCATTGACCCAAGCCCTCATCACGAGTTTGAACGGGCGTCTCTCATCCCACTATATCACCGTCCACTTCTCTCGGTTTCCCGTAACAACCATCTCCCTCACCCCCGGCGGCCTTGCGCAATTCGAGCTCGCTCCTATTCTCTCCGCAGCGCAGCTTCTCTCACACGCCGAAGTCGACATCATAGGAGTATGAAACACATCTCTTTGAACCCCCTTTCCCTCGCAATTTTGCCATGAGCCTCTCTCCCCGGGCCATGATCAAACAAGTCATGGGGATTGGCGAACAAGATCCGGATACGGCATACTGACGTTGCGAGATTCCAGTGGTCAGGGACCTCCGCTGGCTGGCTTGGGTTTGAACGAGATATCGAGTTATGTAGAGCGATTCAGGAGGCGACGGGCATCAGAACCACGACGAGTGTGTTGGCGCTGAACAAAGCTCTTGAGTTATGGGGCGTCAAGAAACTGGGATTGGTAACGCCGTATCTGGATGATGTACAGGAGAAGATCGTGGCGAACTATGCCGCGATTGGGATCCAGATTGGTGAGGGGATGGAGCGCCACCTGAGAGTGGAGAAGAACATTGAGATTGCGGGAATCACTGAGGAGGTTCTGGATGGGTTGGTGGGAGAGGTGGTGCGTGGGGGGGTCGATGCGGTTACGACTTTCTGCACGAACCTCGCTGCCGCACAGAGAGCAGAGTTCTGGGAGGACAAGTACGGCATACCGGTATTTGATACGGTTACTACGGTTATATGGGACATGCTGAGAGAGTGCGGTCTTGATGTTGGGAAAGTCGAAGGCTGGGGCATGATATTCAGGAAAGGGTGAAGATAGGTAATAAGAGACATGATGAGAGCTGTCTTGCTTCTTTTCTTATTCCCCAAATACGGGAATCTTCAGTCCATGCATGCCTTTATATCCTGGGCTTTCGCTTTCCATCCAGCTTTTCAGGACCTCTTCTCTCTCCACGATATCATAAACCGCTACCCCTAGGGGCCGGCAAGTGTCAAGCATCCTTTGCGCTGCATCCTCTCCCCAGCCATGCACTGAGAGGTCCCCTCCAGGGCACGCGGACATTGCGCATAGCAGGTCTGTCTCAGCGAAGAATGTAAAGTGATCAGAAGGTTTTGCCGGAGACGGCTCCCTGGGTTCAGTCAGATCCGACAGCTGCAGCTGAAAGAGAGAAGGGGGGGGGGGGGGGGGGCGTACATGAAATATTTCCCATCTGGATTCAAGCCTGTCACTTGAAAGACATTCAGCACATCGTGGACATCTGCCTCGGTGAGGCCGAACGGCAGAACAGCGCGCACAAGGTTTGAGTGACATTGGTAGTCGAAGTCATCACCGCTGAGTAATTTATTTACTATATCCTCCATCAGTTGCTACACATCTAAATATCTCAGGGTCTCGGCCTGGGGCCCACCGTAAGGATCGCATCTATTCAACCCGTCAGCAGAAAGTCTTGCCAGGGATAAACCCGACCCGGGATGAAATCGCTCACCTCGTCCCAAGCAGATCATGACAGCGTCCCCCAACCTCATCCGGACCATAACCCTTCAAGCTATCACTCACAATAGTTGCCAGCGGCCTCAGATACGGCAAGTTCGACCACAAGCGGTCGCCGACGCTGACGTGTGAAGCATTGAGCTGCCTGGTCCGCGCAGCCCAGAACCTCTCGCGGGGGTTATGGAGGGAGAAGATATTCAGATCTCCTACTTGAGGCCCGTACGGCGTTGAGAGGGTGCAGAGCTGTCCTGTATTCCGATTAACTTTCTATTCTGAAATAAAAAGGCCTGTATATCCCAGCTTATTATCATTGATCATGTGGTGCAAGAACTGATAAGTGCTGCTAAATACCAGCATCACTTAATCAACTCCCCCACCCCACTCATCCACCATCCCCAACAGCGCACGTAAAGAAAGGGAGAGAGTAAATATGATGAACAAACATCTTATAACGTAAATATAAACCCTCCTTAAAAAGAAAACCAACCTTTCCTAACAATCCAAGCTTTCCCACTCCTAATAGGGATCTCAAAACTCTGAACTACCGTCTTGCCATCCCCCTCAGCAATTTTACCAAGTCGTGCGTACAGCTCTCGATCACCATATAGCGCCGAGCTGTCTTTGGCGGGGTAAGCAGGCTTAGGGACACGAGTTGCCATGATTTGAGGTTTCAATATCAAACAAGCTGTGCGACAAAGAACCGATCTTTGGCTTCCGTATGCTGAAAACCGGACTTCAGTAATTAATCATTTAATTAATTAGTAGTCAGAAGTAGATTGATAATCCATGAGCTTTTCCATTTCCTTACCTACTTGCTCGCTGTATAAAGGTGGGAGGGCACGATAAGGTACCTCTTATCAACCCGACGAATAATAATCTGTGATACTAGTGGGCAAAACGGTAGATTGTGGTATATATTCTGATAAGATGTTTTGTTCACAACAACAAGAGCAATATAGCGCAGAGGAAGCGCGCCGGGCTCATAACCCGGAGGTCCCTTGATCGAAACAAGGTATTGCTACAAATCCATCAAAATCTTTTTTTTGCAGCCCTTTTTCCCTTGCTTGATGTGGAAGAAATGTGAACAGCCCCCTTTTTTGGAGGGGGTTTTATATCTTTTTTTTTTGACTGTTGTGATTTTCTTTACCGCTTTCTTTTGGTCTCTGTGCTTTTACCGAGAGGTTTTGAACCACAAGAAACTAAGGTACCGACTGATGTCACGGACACTGGAAAGGTATTCTGGCTGTGCTACTACTTCCTAGCTGTAAGGATATAATGTTGACCTAGAAATGTCTACCTACCTAGTTTTGCCTTTTTACTGTAGCAATGTATCAGCATGTCTGCCTGTCTCTGCCTTTCAGAAAGGGGTTCAGACAAGTTAGGCGAAAACATAGCCTTGCAGACGAGCAGCACTTCTAGATAACTAGATGAACGGGTTAGAAGTCATTCTAAGTTATCCCAGCGTCTCAAATGTTCGAATTGGTTTGTAGCTCATGGAGCTATGCTGAAAAGTCCTCAAAATAACTTCCTTCGTCGTGGTTTAGACTCGAACATTCCTCCAGCCTTGCGTTAATACCTGAGGCACCAAGGCTTCACCCAGCAGCATCTAGGCCTGGTACGAAAGACTGACTGACGAACCGCACCCCTCCTTTCCCAAGTTCCACTTCACGACGCGCAACAAAGAAAAAAAGCATGGAGACGACAATCCTCAGCTCCCGCGAAGCAGCAGCATCCGGGTTCCCGACGAACCCCGAGGAATTCGACGCGGACGAGCGCATCTCGTTCTCGAAGCTGGACGGCAAGTTCCTGCTGGTGCAGGACGACGGGGCCGAGTTCGAGTTCGACGAGGCGCTGCGGCGCTGGGTGCCGGTGCTGGACGAGGCGCTGCTGGAGGAGCAGCAGCGAGCGTATCGGGTGTCTGGGGTCGATGAGCACGAGCCGGTGGCGGCGGCGAGGAGGAAGAGGAAGAAGGAATATGTCAATGGGGAGGATGAGGTGAGTTGGACGGGCGCCGCGCTTTCTTTTCCTTTCCTTTCCTTTCCTTCTCTATCCTGTCCTGCGAGCTGGCTGTTTCCTATTGCTTTTGCTGGGATTTCTAAATTCCGAGTCCCAGGTAAAGGGTATTAACGTGCAAGTTGTAGGAAGGCGGACGAGCAGTACGAGCCAGCAAGAAGCCCAAGCCGGCGCGAGAACCACGCGCCAACACCGCCGTCTACGTAACGGGCCTCCCAGCCGACGCCACAGTCGACGAAGTAGCCTCGGTCTTCTCTCGCAAGTGCGGCGTGATCGCCGAGGAGATCGATAGCGGGCGGCCGCGGATCAAGCTCTACACGGACGAGCACGGGGCGTTCAAGGGCGACGCGCTGATAGTATTCTTCAAGCCCCCGTCAGTGGACATGGCCATCATGCTACTGGACGACACGCCCCTGCGGATCGACGACGGGCCTGAAGCGCCGCGCATGCGCGTCCAGGCCGCCGATGCGAGTTATAAGAAGGTCCAGCATGGCGCGGGGGAGGAAGGGGGCCAACCAACAACGGCGGAAGGCGAGCGGGAACGCGAACGCCAGCGCACGAGCGCGCGCGAGAAACAGAAGATCATCAGGAAGACGCAGAAGCTGGACGCGCGCCTCGCGGACTGGAGTGATGACGAGCCGGCGACGATGATGGGCGAGTCCAGCAGCGGCGGCGGCGGCAGTTCGCGCTGGGACAAGGTCGTCATCCTCAAACACATGTTCACGCTCGAGGAGCTCGCCGAGGACCCGGCCGCGATCCTGGATATCAAGGAGGATATCCGCGAGGAGTGCAGTAAGTTGGGCGAGGTGACGAATGTGGTGTTGTTCGACCTCGAGGCTGAGGGCGTGGCGAGCGTGCGGTTTACGAGTGCCGAGGCGGCGAGGGCGTGCGTGCGGCTTATGGATGGGAGGAGTTTTGCGGGGCAGAAGGTGGAGGCGTATATTTCTAATGGGCAGGAGAAGTTCAAGAAGTCGAAGAAGAAGGCGGATGATCATGAGGAGGAGGAGGAGGATAAGGTATAGATGCAGCAGCAGCTGCTGCATGATGAGACGATTGTACGATAGGGGGATATTTGGCCAAAAAAAAAGGGGAATAAAGAAACAAAAAGGCTCTGAAAATGGGTTCTGTATCAATATCATATCATAGCATAATAATGTATAGGGTACTCTATTATTGACAACCCGCCTAGTGATGACGATAAAAGGCTTCCAAACACTGGAGACAAGACCAAAAGTCCTTAGACGCATTAAACGCCAACAACGTATTTCTTTTCTCGCTCATGACGCCAAAAAACAAACACTTCCATTAAGACCCAAGATCATTCATAAACAACACGCGGTATCCCGAGTTCAGGCGTTCGGATCACTCTCTGGAATCTCCTCCTCCTCGAGGATGCCCTCCACCGGTAACTCTACCCCTTTGACAGGGTGGATGAGCATGGGCGGTAGACACATCCTGCCCTCGCCGCCTCTCATTCCATTAACGCCCTGGCCGCTCCTTCCCTCATCCACCGTCGTCTCGAATTGCTCTCCGCCCTCGTTGTTCACCTTCAGGCCCAACCAGCGCTTCCACAGATTCGGCGCGAACCCGGCATTGTAGTACCAGGTCATGCCCAGGAGGTTATGTTCCCTCTCCCCGAAGACGCTTGTTCGAGCCCCTCCAGTGGCGCCGTTCCGGCCGGCATTCATCACACTAGAGAGATACTCCGTCGGCCATTCCCGATCCACGTACATTGGGTGCGGAACGTAGACTGCTTTGTAGCCGTGGTGGAGGGCGGTTGTGGAAGGCCACATCTCCGAGAAGGCATGGTGCTTCTTGAATGTCGTCTCGCGATGCATGGTGGTGAGTAGTCGTCTTGACATCCTTGAGGAGGTCACGATAGCTGCGCGCCGTGGGGGAAGGCCTTCAGTAGTGTTGTAGCCGGTGATATCGTTGGCAAGGAGCCAGGTCGTTCCATCGGGGTCGAAGAGGGGGTTGAAGGTGATAAGATCAGCATCCTCACCGACACCCCAAACGTACTTATCCTTGTCGTATCCAGTGGGAGGCACCGGGTCTTCATCTATTTCGAACCAGTCCTCCGGGTTCTGAGGTCGCTCAGGTCCCCAGATTGATTTATCAGTTTTGGGACGATCAGCTGGGGTTTTGGCACCGTTGAGACCAGACCACATGTTGTTGGGACTGTCGGTACCCATCTCGGTCTGCACTCGAACCATCTGCTTAAAATCTTCCCAGGAGCCATGAACAGATGGGACATAAAATCTGCTATTCCGCTCCCACAGACCTTTACGAGGTTGCTGTTTAGTCCACTCATTAATCCGCGAGAAAAGATTGTAATAATGCCCAGTGTAGCGAATATCAATTTCCCAGTGCCAGAAGAAATCGTACTCGGGATGCTTGTGTGCAAAATGTTGCATGGCCATCTGGAGTCCTCGATAAGAGCCGTGAACTGGTAGGTTGGGGCCTCGTGCATAGGTATCAAATATGCCTTGGTACAACATGAGCATCTGCGTCTCGCTCCACAGCGTGGTAATCCCATGAAACTCCTCGGGTACAGACTCCCGAAGGTGCTGCTGGTATGTCTCTTCATCAGCCCAGATTGGGTGTTTCGCCTCATCCTTCACTTGGACCAACAGATGTACGTCGTACTCTCCGCCAGACCCGAGAGACAGCTCCGATATCATGGCTCTGAGATGCAGAATATCCTCCTCCTTATACTCGAACTCATCCCAGGAGCGTATTACAACCGCAGTCCGAGGTAAAAGTTTGTGGTTCGTTACGGCACTGGGGCTTGCTTTCCCACCATCACGGCCTGATTCGTCTCGCCTGTCCATGGCCTTGTCTCCAATAACGGAAGCGGACGTAGGAAGTTCAGTAACAGGGGCTTTCTGCTGAAAACGTGCAGCATTTGCAGCAAAGCATCTTTTCTGTGCAGCTCCCCAGTCGACTCCTCTGTAGTCCACTTGATTGACACCCGAAGTAGTCTTCCACACAGCTTCTGATCCTTCCTTTTCTCCATATTGGCCAGCCCCAGTACCTCCATATCCTAGCCCATATCCAAAGCCATAGGGTCCAAGCCTACCATATCTCTCAAAGCAGATATCTTCTGGTAATCCCAGCAAATCGTAAGACCCCATGACGTTTTCGGGGAATCCGCTGGGTCTGCCGTAATAATATTGCAGGTTTGGAACCTTGACTTTTGATTCAGCATCAAGAAAACATTCTTGCACAGGTGCATATTTGGACAGATATTCTTCTGAAGTGTGACTTGTGTAAGCAAGGAATGGTTTGCTGGCAGGGATATCTCGAATCGGTATTGAATCTGCCTCGATTGACGTATGGTTGGATAATTCCGGCTCATCCCTTGCTAATGGATACTCTGGTTTGTTATCTTCAAAAGGGACTAAAGTTCGAATGCCTCCATAATAGCGCGTCAGAAACTCGAAAGACTCCCACGGAGCTGGAGGGGGCGGAGGTCGTTGTCCAAGATCCCCGACCTCTACTCTTCTCGATGAGACAATACTCATCCGCACCAAGGTCACCAAAAATATGATAATTGTTGAGATCAGGGCACAGCAGAGGCATCGCACTATCTTATTGGGGAGCCTGTAGGACGATGGTGCAGGCCGTCGCGGGCCTGTTGAAGGCTTCCGTAGAATGGGTCGAGAGGCGGAGTACGAGTCCGAAGTCTCTCGTGAAGACCGCGGCGAGGATGAAGAGGAAGAGTAGTCGGAATCATCTTCAGAATCATCTGAATCTGACGGGGCCTGTTTCTCGGGATCGACGTCTCTCGAACGTTCGTGATGGCGGACAGGGAGCTCTGAATATTGTTGACGTGAGGATCTTTTGGCGACCCTCAGAGGACTCCAAGAGCCAAAGCCAGCCATCCCGGCACCAGTTCAGTAGAACACAAGGAGCGTCCGTCTGTTGCGTCTTATCATGTATAGTTAGTGAGGGGCATTAGGAGAAAGGATGCAAGGAGAGAGATGATGTATTCAAATACCGACAATTGTTTCTCAGACCCAGGAAATGAGGATATAATAACGGAAGACGGCAGACTGCAGCATATAGAACTACTGAGGAGAGTCGTTGGTGTTAGTGAGTCGAAAACCCCCGATCGAGTGGTCTGTCTCCAAGCATCATGGGGAAGCCGTTGGTGTAGCAACAGCTGAAAACAACAACATCATGCCGTTTTGGGATCTGCCGAGGATAACTCCGTGGGGGCGCCGTGCCAGGCAGCCAGGCCGCTATAATTGGCCAATGAGACAGTAGTGGGTCAACAGCCACCTCCACCGCAGCCTTAGCCACACCGTCCGTCCCCCGTAAGGCTGAATGAAGTTGTAAGGCTGATTCTTTTTTCTCTACGCCATGGATCATGCGAAGTGGTCGCGCTCAACGCAGTGATAGCAGACTCAGCAGACCGGTTCCTGGCCAGGGAGGGAGATGTTGTCGGGCTATCAGGTTACGAAGAGGGATGGTAGAAAGACATTCAGGACGCAGTGGCAGCACAGCTCATCGTACAGCAGCAGCATCTGCACACAGTCACAGACAGCCACGATACACACTCCTCCGGTCTCGGGGGGCTTCTACTGAGAGAGAACTTCCTGCTTCTGAGGCTCTTCAAAACGACAACCGTTCATCTCTTGACCATGGAAGTGAAGACCCGTCTCGTGGAAGTACACAGGACGAGGTATCTTTACTATTCTTTCTTTCTTTTGTCTTCATGTCTGGGAGAGAAGGGCAATGAAGCATTGAAGCATCGCAGGAGATGCTCCCGAGGATGCGGGCCAGTGCAGTGCGTACAGCTGATCCACCTGCAGATTGCATGTCATGAGTGTTCGTTCCCTTCCTTGCTTTTGTTTCTTTTTTCTTTTTCTTATCATTCATTCCGTTTGGCCGCTTTGTTTCTTTTTTCTCTTCTTCTTATCTACCCTCTCCACCTACCCTCGCTTTGCTTGATTTTATCTTATTTTATTTTATTTTGTTTCATCCATTTCCATGCGATTTCTGTGCGATCTATTCTGACCGCCCCTTTCCCCTCGTGCCTGAGGTCCGTCTTCACCGTGGGTGGTGGGTACCTTAGGCATACACTCGGCTACACACCAGGCTAGTCCTATCGCGCAGTAGCGCATGCTCCGCTGTGGCAACTTCCTAGCTGGGCCGGTTGGTTCCTGTCGCTTAAGAGCGGCCGCTTCAAGTGGGGTCTTATCTGGCGATCTGATTGGCTGCACGGCCACAGCTGGGCCAATGCGGGGACAGTGAGGTATGGGGATCGGGATTCCTGTTTGGCGAGGGCGTTGTCCAGAGGTCAAATAGCAGTCCTCTCTGTCGGGGAATTGCAGTCTCATTCAGACTGTAGGTCCTGTAGGTCCTGTGCATGGAGGTATCGTGGCGGCTCCAGGGCCCAGAACTGCATCATCAGGACCCGTGACGCCAGGACTCGCGCAGCCGGTCGCGGCGCTTCTTGACGACAGGTGACGACAGGTGAGGGCAAGTGACGAGATGTACCAGAGACCAGAGCCATACAGCAGAGCAGGACGGGCCTCTAGTGGCCCATCGTTGCCCGACGGCCTCGCTCTTTGCCGCAGGAGGGGCGAGGCCACGAGGGACGGAAAGGGCAGCCACGCTGTTCCGGGCGTCTCCTTCCTTGTTTCCCTGTTGTTTTGTTTTCTTCTTGCGTCGTGCCTTCCCTCGATCTCTCTTCATTCCTCCCCACCTGAGGCATCCCCACAGCTCACTCTTCCTCACCTCTGTCCCTCCTGTGTCTCTATTTAAGAAGGCCGCATCCCCCCTCCCCTCAACTCTCTTCACCTTTTCTTTCTCCTATCTTTCTCCCATCTCTCAATCTACCGCTTCTCCCTATATCCCTACATCTTCATCAATCATTCTTCACCTCGACATTGGCCTCTTGAATGGGATTCCTCTTCTGATTGACTGTCTCAGGTCTCTGGCTCTGTCCTCTCCTGTCCTGTCCTGCCCTGTCCTGTATCAGTTGCTCGATTGCGTGCTGCTGGGCTGCAATTGCTAGCTGTAGTCGTCAGCTCTAGGATCAAGATCAAGAACTCGAGAGACCTCAAATCAATCCACAAACTCTGCCTTGCTCCTCCCTGCTTCCCAAGTGACTGCCGAGACCTCTCCTTCGACCGCCCGCTCTCTTTCTCCAGCCTTGAAGCTACTGAACGTGATAGGCCATCACTCCCTCTCAATTGCGGCTCTCTAAATCCCATCGCAGCTTGTCAGTCTCGCCCAGAAACTAGACTCGCCTTCAGCACTGCTGACAGTTGATAGATGTCCCTCGTTCACCAACAGACCACGACCCAGGTCGTGGCACAACAATCCGGCGTCGAACAAGATCCTCCTGTCTGCCTGACCCAACACTCGGTTCTCCGAATCACGCTGAGTGGTCGAGCTCTTGTCCTCACAATCCTCGCAATAATCGTCGGTGTCCAAATCCTCCAGCCCTCGCTCACCTGTACGCTCATAGCCTTATCCCCGCTACCCGCCATCATCCACAATGACTATGTGAACTTCCTCTCCCTCGGGCCCGGAGGAACACCTTCGACCTTCCCCGGGTACCTCAAGATCGTATTCCTTCGGTTCTTCGCCCTGTCCGACCCGTACACCCCCGCCCCTTTCTGCGAACCAATCTACCCATCGAAAGGCTACTACCAGCGCGCCCAAAGCTGGCTCCCTAAGCGTAACGGCCGTCGCCCAACAGTAGCAGGCATTGCACCACAGAGACAGCTTGATCAACCGGGCGATGCAAGGATGTACGAGGCGCTTCGAGCGTGTCTGGAAGATCTTGCGGACAAACAACCCGATCTCTTGCGGGTGGGAACTTCATGCTTTGAGAAAAAAGGCCTGGCGTTGTTCTGCCAGGACCCAATAAATGCCACCTGTCGAGGGGAGATCTGCCATGTCCACCACAGTGATCGAAGCATGCATCTGAATCTACACCCGGATGATGCGAGGGTTGTGCTGGAGAAGGGCTGGGGGGAGAGACATCCTCTGGCAAGGGGCGGATGGATGAAGGCCTACGTGCCTCGTGAATTCATCATGGTCTATGCTCCTAGGGACCGCACCGAGCTGGACGTTATATGCCGGATTGTTGAGGCTGCTGCGTTCTGGGTCAGCGGTAAGAGCATCGAGGTCAAGGCTGGGAAGGTTTAGGGGGTGATAAATGAAGGAGAATCGAAAGCGAGAATGGGAATGGCCCGGGATACCCAGGGCATGGTTATTTTTTGCTAGTTCTTCAGCGCAAGGAGTTATGGTCAGGCGAATCACGAAGAGAATGCAGAGATACCTAGAAACAAATTGTATATTCTGAGCGTCTAGCATTTTGAATATTGTTGTGTGACAAAGAGGGAGGACTGGTTGGCTCTTGCTTGCTATGGAGACAAGAATCTAGAACCACAAAAACCGAAAGCAACACCTCGAAATGCAGTAAGCACGGGACGGTGCATAAGCGAGGCAGGGCACCGCGTAAGCCATCAAGTTCCTGTTGCGTGTGGATAAGTAAAGGGAAGGAAGAGGGAAGTTGGTACTGAAGGAGATATAGCTAATCAACTCGGGCGCGCGAGAGGAAATACTGTTACGGGGCTGTCTGTTAGTTTGGAGGCAGAGGCGTGAATAGCCTCAGTAACACAACACAACAGAGAGAAGCGGTTTTCTAATGTAAGATCAATTCCGGACTAGACTATCATGTGATCCTCCATCTACCGCTGCTTTTATACCATGCTGAAAGACAAGATGGCAAGGCCAGGTGTAGAGAAGGGGGGGCAAGCAACAACAAGCAAGAAAAAAAAAAAGGAAAAGGAAAACCGAAAACCACACACAATACGCGCAAGGAGAAAGAGCTCTATCAGATTCCCGCAGTAGCTAAGGGCGATGCAATAGCCGAGCGGTAACACACAAAGAGCTCCGAATCATCGTACAAGTACCACCCTTGCGCCTCTCATGGAAGTGGACCGCTGAAGACACAAGAATGGGTTCATGACATTGAGCACCAATGGCCGAGATGGAGGAGAGGTTTGTGATATGGACGTTCGATTGTTCTGGGGGAAGCTTGCAAAATACAATCGCGGGGGATGGGCGATACGAGGCCCCCAGTATCTACTGGTGGCCAGCCTTTCGGAGGGAGCTTGCAAGCCACTCCAAACCTTCGTAGAGACCATCTCCCGATGTGGCGCAAGTGGATTGGATGTACTATGAGCATGTTAGTTGTCAACCCTGGGGGCTCGGGGCGGTGAGGTCTGCTTACCCAGGCACGCTGTCTCAAGCTGTGAAGACCCAACTTATCTGTGATCTCGGCCGCGTTCATGGCGTTCTGGGAAAAGGGGTTAATTCAGTTCGGTTGGCCGTGGACACGGTGTACTCACTGGCAAATCTTGCTTGTTGGCGAAAACCAGGAGAATGGCATCCCTCAGCTCGTCCTCGTTCAACATGCGCTGCAATTCCTCCCGAGCCTCAACAACACGGTCGCGATCGTTGCTGTCAACAACGAAGATGATGCCTTGGGTGTTCTGGAAGTAATGTCTCCACAGGGGTCGAATCTTGTCCTGTCCACCAACATCCCATACGGTGAATTGAATGTTCTTGTATTCCACGGTCTCAACGTTGAAGCCTGGGAAGGGAGAATCAGTGTAAAGTCCTGATGGGACGCCTCGAGCATCTACATGGTTGAGATCATACCGATTGTGGGGATGGTTGTGACGATTTCACCAAGCTTCAGCTTGTACAGGATTGTGGTCTTTCCGGCGGCATCCAAACCCACCATCAGAATTCGCATCTCCTTCTTCCCCCAGAGTCGGTCAAAGAGCTTGGAAAATGTGAGACCCATGGTTGCGGTATGGGGTGTGGTGTCGGTGTGAGGTGTTGAAAGGGGGTTTGCTCTTGCGCACAATCGATTCTATCGAGCGCCAGGAGATTAGCAGAGCCGATGGAAACAGGGACAAAAGGTTGAGCGATGTAGAGCCCTGGCCAAAGCAGATTCGATGTGGAGACTTGGACACGGTTGCGTCCCTTGATCTGGCTGATTGAACAGGCTGCCAATGCCGAATCGTGAATTCCCCGGAGGCACGCGCTGGCATTCGGCTGCCAGCAACCCCCTCGAACCGTAGTCGACGGAGTGCAAGAAGGGACAGAGAGAGAACTTACAGTACGACGGGGTCAACGAAGACCAGGTGGAGATAGATGTGAGGTTATTAGCGAGGAGTTGATTGACTGTCGGTAAGATGGGGTGCTGGTGTGGTGAGAGAGGACAGCGGTGCTCAAAAGTGTGCTCTCCTCGCAGGATCAAATCCGCGCTAAGCTATTTTAGGCTCCGACACGAAGTTTAAAGTTGATGTGTCCCCTTTTCAGATATCAAGGATTCAAGAGCCCCATTCGCGCCCTCGTCCAAGTAGGTTGGTTCCCTGCGCTGCATCTTCTTCAACTCACTTCGACCTGCGATTGATCCTCGATAGCCTTTTGCCCGCCATGCGCTTCTCGACGCCTTCGATTCTCCTGGCCGCGAGCTCTTTGCTTGGCGCCGCCCTGGCCCACAATATCCAACTCGCGGCACACGGGAGGGAATGCTTCCACGAGCAGCTACACAAAGATGATAAGATGACCGTGACGTTCCAAGTGGGCGACCGGGAGTTTGGCAGTGCGGGAAACCTAGATGTTGATTTCTGGGTATGTGACGCTGAGGTCATCGTTCTGCCCGCATCACTGACTCCGCCAGATCTCAAATCCCGCAGGAGGTTACGAGGCACGCGAGAATGCGGTCTCGAACGGGGACCATTCTTTCACAGCTCAACATGATGGGAAATACACGTACTGCTTCAGCAACGAGCACTGGTCGGCAAACACCAAGAGCATCTCCTTCAACGTACATGGCATAGTCTATGTTCCAGAGGCCGAGGCGCCCTCAGACCCATTAGAAGCCGAAGGTAACACTGTCCCCTGAGCTCTAGAACTGTGCAGAAATTGATTATGTTTCTCTAGTCCGACAACTATCTGAACTGCTGGCCCAAGTCAAAGACGAACAATCCTACATTGTGGTCCGCGAAAGAACCCACCGAAACACCGCAGAAAGTACCAACGGCAGAGTGAAATGGTGGAGCATATTCCAAATGGTTGTGTTGGTGGCCGAGGGCATCTTCCAAGTATGGTGGTTGAAACGATTCTTCGAGGTAGGCAAGAACAGTGCCGAGCGCTTTGGAGTCCTGAGCCGGTAGCTGATTGACTTGTATAGGTCAAGCGGGTTGTATAAGGACGGTACGGACGTTTAGGGTTTCACGTAATAATTGGAATCGGCGCAGGCAGCATTATGGAGCGAGAACTTGGGAAAACGACGAGATGATATACCCCCATTACCAAGCAATTATTGCTCTGGGGTCTCTGTACTTTTACTTTCCATACAAAAGCAACATTTGCCCTTCAAGTCGATGGCACCATTGTCGACTTTCTTTGCAGACATCATCAGTGCGTGTGTATCTAAGGTGAGGTCTTGCACAATGCGGGCTCTCAAGGGCGATATAGAACAATAGCGATGCACAGCTACAATACCTCAGATAACCCCCTGAAGCCTTTAACAGAGTTTCAATCAGCCCGCGTGAAAGCGGCTTAGATCTCATAGAAGCAAGCCATCCATCACTTTGAATATATCCCAGAAAAGCCCAATAATCTCCCGAGCTACTCTCCAGACAAAAGCATACAAGCCACGCCGAAGAATGCAGAATAGACCATATCCATATCTCAATAATTTTCTTCTTCAAAACGACAGATTTCCCCAATCTTCGACGAAGATTTAAGGATTATACCGATTATGCTTATGGTTAATACGGAGCGCTATGTGGATCTTCTGGCCCCCCGATGGCAATCGCCGTTGCGCCAACGTTTAGACGGGTTACGTACGCGATGACTGCCGAGGTATGTCCCTCGCGTGTGATCGAGACTTCAGGTCGAGGGGTGTTGTGTGTGGAAGAGGCCCGTCTGGAATCTCCTAGTATCAATCGTCAAGGACACGTATTATAAGCCGTGTATGACTGTCTCCCAACTGATAGAGAGAGAAAACAGATTTGGTCTTCTTGTACATCGCAGGGTCATGATCCACAAACCGCGCAATTACCAGGTAAGAAACCAAGGCCATTTAACCTTCTACCAGAGCCCTACCAATCCTCAACTTCTCTATACTCGGTAATCTCCATGAGATGTTGCTGTGGTCCAGTTTCACAATATGTCGAGAGCACGTAGATGGCTACTTTTGCCCACTCATGACCATCCGTTATCCAGGAGGCACACACCCATCACAAGGATAAGCATTGCTAAATCCAAGATCGACGACTCCGCCCTGGCCCGGCTTCAGTACGCATTGCCACCGGCAGCTTCTAGATCGTTGCCAAAGACCACGGATAATGTTCGGGCAAGGCACAAGGCACGAGGAAGGCAGTCGAGTCGAGTCAGTTCAGGGAGAATGGGAGTCTGAGGTAGTAATGGTCGTTGGCACTCAACGACAGCACGAAACGGATCGCAGCGAGTCAGAATACCAGCAGAGACTGATAATAGACGGTCCATCTTTGTTTGATGTGCCCATGATCGTGACGAGTCAGCAGGCGCGAGCCCACCGACCAGAAATGCGAGAGCGTACTCGTAGTTGTGCGAGGAGAGACGATGCATACTGTCAAGGCATCAGTAAGCATATTGCCGCCTCCTCTGGACTACAATCCGTTTACATAACACTGCGAGAGGTTGCTTGGGTAGAAGAGGAGAAGGGCATCACTGCAGACGGTCGCATCAAGAAGAGATCATGTGACTTACGTTTTCAGGAAATGAAGTCCCGTGACAGTGGGCAGCGTTGGGGCATTGCGTCGAGAAGTAAACACAGGACAAGAAAGAAAACGCAAAAATGCAGAAAATGACGGGAATTTGCGAGCTTCAGTGTCGTAGTTTCCCAGCATTTTCGGATCTAGGTAATGTATCCTGGATTAGTATTCCACGTGAACTGACCATTGTCACTCGTGACCCAAGGTTCGAAGAGAAGAGCCAGTCCATCTTGGGTGTCTGAAGTACTGAAAATAACTAGAAATGATGCAAAACGAGGTTGAGATAAGGTTTTGGCCTTTGGATTGCTGCAAATCGACAAGTGCCGACGTCTTGATTTTCTTTATAGCACCTTGACAGGTTGCCCTTCCCCCTTTTGACTGACTATGTGCCGCAATACACGGTACCGTGACATCCTTCCATAGGATCTGGCAAGAGACCAAAATATGATTTTGATATAAAAGGTCAGCAAGCCCGGAGCGTCTAAAACTTCATCCATCGTTATAATTCTTAACGTACCATCCTTACCTGAATCCTCAACTCGAGCAACGATCCAGTGGTGACAAGGGGTACTCGAACAAGGCCAGCCACTAGCATTCATACTTCCTTCAAATTGGAGTCATTCAGCTGTGGACTCTCACTATTACTTCGTGCCCCTTCAAGTCTTCACCGTCTACATTGTCACCTTCTTCTGTCATCTTGATCCTTCCAACACCACGGCTGACGAGATTCTCCTGGTATCGCCCGAAAATTTACATATACACCGCTGATCTCCTATACCAATACAAGGCATCTGCGAAACAACGAAAGCGTGTGCAAAGGGAACACCGAAGCTGGAGGCGACTGTTGACACCAGTAACAAGTGAGGGAAGGATTCATGCGTTGCGTACCAATTCAATTGAACATGGAGTCATTCCCGGATTTTGAATCTAAAACAGCCCCAGGCGAGGTAGTAGTATCTCGCGGGAGAGATCTCCGAGAACCTCCCAGATATAGCGATTCTGGACTTGGAAGCGTTTCATCAGAACACGTTAGTCCTCTCCAAGAGCATCGTCCATCCCTGGACAATCGGGAGCTCGACAGTCCCAAAAACCGACCCCGCTCCCGCTGCCGCGCAACCCATCTCCCAGAATTCCTCCATCGACACCATGAGATTCAAGAAAAGGCCAATATACCCCAGTGTACAGCCATTGTTGCCAGTTCCTGCAGCGTCCGGAGTCTGACTAGAGAAGCTTTTAGAAGACAATGGTCGGAACAGAAGAAAAAGGCTCAGAAGAGTCGCTTTTGGCGCAGAGACGTAAGAAAAGAGAGAAAGGGAGACCTCGAGACGAAAATGAATCTTAATACAGGAATCAAACTGATGTCTGAACTCCCATCCATACGCGAGGTCCCTATTGGGGAGGGGTCACTGCACTTGGGGTTGTTTGGGTCCGACTCGGGCTTGCCCACGAGTTTTGCAGATTCACCGTCCCTCTCAGACCAAGGTCCGCGGCCTGAGTTTCCCTCTCCAGAACCAATGGCTCATGAATTGGTAGTTGTGAGCGTTAGGGAGTTGTCTGAAAAGTCTGATAATTTGGCCCCGGAGTGTTCACACGAAATAGTCGAGATGATCGTGCATTCCGATTCCGATAGCGGGTATTACACGGCTGAGGAGGAGTTTGTCCATACTAGTCACACGGGGCTCAGCTAGACCTGGGAAGAGATGTTCCAAGAACGAAAATGAGGCTTCACATGCGAGAGAACCTAAAGATGGCAGAGAAAGATTGTCGTTGCAAAAGCACGTCCCTGCCTTTTTCCACACACTGAGGTAAGGAGCTCATCACGTGATGATGGGAATGAAAAGGGGAAGCGAGAATACCAAGCTGGGGTGCCAATGTCCATCACAGAATTTCCCGACCAAAGCCAGATTTTGCGCAAAAAGGACAGCAATGAGGTCAGGAAGTGCAAAATTGAGAGGTTGAGGACCACAGAACGCGTATTGTAGTTATTTCTTTAAAGCAGCTTTTTTTTCGGATGTAAATTCGTAGGGTCGGAGATGTAGATAGTGGAATCCAATAGAGGAATTACTTTATTTATTTATTTATTTTTTTTGACCTCCTTGAGACCGAAAGTATGACATCCGTAAGCCTCTACTTATGACGAGGCGCAGATACCAACTCTCTTCATAAGACATTCGACGAAGGTAACGATGCAAGAATGCGCATCCCGATCGATCAACGTCACCAATTTTCTCTCAAAATACCATAGTGAAAAAAGAATGTATCGTGATCTAATGTATCGCCTTTGAGCTATCATGGATACAGATATAATAATGCTCGAACAATTCATCTCTCTGAACATCGTGAGCGCATCACGATACAGTAAAGCGGACACCACGAGAACGATTCTGTCGGTGGGCCTGTGCGGGAAAGTAGAGATTTGGTGCTGAGATTTGGATGTAGTGTGCGAGGTGCTAATAAAACTCATGAACACTTAGGTTTTGACGGCGTGACTCATGTTGCATCATAGAGGCGAAAAAGCTCCCGCAGCTAAAAAGCAATAAATTGGATAGTTTCCCGGAGGATGCACCGAGGTTTCAACTTGAGATTAGGTGGTAGATGCTAGAGAGTAGGTAGCACACCAGAAATCAAGAAGATGGGACGCTTGAACTTGAGCCCTCTTCAGAATGCCTTGGCAGGAGGTAATTTAGGCAGAAAAGAATGTGGAGCTGTCGAAGCTGGTGAGTTGAGAGCGATTGTGAGTAGAGATAGCAAGACATAAGAGGATTGATCATCGATCACTGTAGAGTTTACAGAGGACACGAAAGATGATACTAGCCAGAATGTGAAAATGGGAGAAGGTATACGAATTACTACAATGCGTAGGACTCGTCCCAGGGCTTCTGTCTGTTAGGCGGAAGGGGGCGCGTAGAATTCGAACGAGATATATTTTGAGAGTAGTGAGACGAAATGGAAGCCAATATCAAAGCGAAAGACGTTGAGAGAAGTCAGTTCAAAAGAAAATATTGCGATGTGCAACAGAGTGCTGAATGCTCTATAAGACTGTATCTAAGGCCACGTTGATTGGAGACCAGAAAGCAAGAATAGGGGTTGAGACAATAACCATGTGGCTAGAGTCATAACCAGGTGGAGGAAAGGGGATAGGGGTGAAGCGAAGGCGAAAAGACACGGTAACGTATCGCAGGTAGGAAAACTAAGTAAGAAGGAAAGCAAAAGTAAATGGTAGGGTCATGGTAGCGTACCCTTTAGAAGAGCACACATCAAATAGAGGTTAATATGTTTGAATTTCATCTTGCAAAAGGACTGCACTGACGGATCTTGCAACGAAAGCATTCACCTGCCTTTAGGGTTTTGCCAGATGCTGCATAGTGAGCTGCTTAATCGCCGCTCAGAAAGAGCGTTGGGTATAATTTGATAACAAGGTGCGTTCTGTCGAGCGTTGGCGATTGGGAAAATCAAAATAACTGAGCGGGCCATGTGACCAATCAAAGAGTTTGACTGGATGTAGGACCCTCCATAATTGTATCAGGAAAAGTATCTGCTAAATAGAGACTAGAACCGCGGATATAGACGGCCTTGAGCGATGTTAGTTTTATAGCGCTGGGAAAAGACCGACGAGATGGCTCACGCACATTGCCCGAGACCTCTCAATTGAATCAAGTGAGAAAGTGGAGTTCCAGGCAATAATGACATTGACATACGTAGTGGTCATGAAGGCCATTGAAAGTTCTAAAATAAAGGAGTCGGGGACACACTCGTAGCCTTAGCATATGATTGGAATCCTTCCTTGGGAATCCGACCCCCGGCCTCCTGTTATTAGGTGCTGAACCCCAAGCACGCGGCTCAAAGCAACTATTCTAGGGAGCACCCTTCAAGATGGGGTCATCATGATCTCAGAAGAATAGAGATAAGCTGGCCTGATGAAGGTACGACTATTGTTGTAATCCGAGCCATTGGACTCATCCATAGGATGCCATGGCTTGAGATCGTGTATACCCAAGGTTGATAAGTACGGCAAATCCTTAGAGGAGAATCCATGGCCCGGAGATATCAGCCCTGGCAGAAGGGCACATAATTCGGTCATGATATGTATGCATCAGGCAAACCAAATGCCGGCGAGGTTTTCTGATATCGGTGATTCTGGCGAATCATTACGATGAGGGATGCATCCATAGTTCATGCTTTGAGACGGCGCATAAGCATTGAGTCATCGAAGATAACCGACTCGGCATCACAATGTCACAAAGACACCTTTCATCTGCTGGTGAATGTCCATGAGGGGTACCGGGAGGTTCAACGGACCTTCGGCTTTCGGATGATAACATTGTTACCCTCTAATTGCCATCCAACTCCGTAGTCCTTGGTCAGAGAAGCCCACGAGGTATTCGTGTACTGTTCCAATGAAGGCTTGTCAATGCTCAAATAACCTCGACCAAGGCATTTCAGAGTCTGCCTCTTCATGTCGTCCTGTGCGAACTCCATGAGCTTTGCCTTATGACCATCAACACTTTGCTTCACTCTCCAGAAGAGGAAGTAATTATCATGAGCAAGGGACCGTAGAACCGCATCTACTTTCGGGTCGTGTAGCCTGTACTGATGTCTGACGGCGAAAGCCTCCGCCAGGTTGTTCTGTCGACATGCGAGATCTAAAACCAGATATCCCACAAATTCTTGAAGCTCCATGCTTGTAAGAGCCTGGACGGGATGCATCTTTCTAAGGAGGTGGAGGATCGCGGGATGATAGGACTCCATATGCTTCACCAGTATGGACAGCCGAATGCAGAAGATGTAGGCCTGTATGGAGAAATCATCCACCCGGTGCGAAGCCACGATTCCTTCTCGCAACTTCCTCATCGCCATCATCAACGTGGCGAGATCTTTTTGCCCGAGGCTGGCGTCGATAGACATGTCGCTGGCACTTGGAGCGGTCTGCGGCCTCTCGATCCTCGCATTCCCTTGCGATGTGTCCATGCGCGCAAGTCGTCGCGAAAGCTCGTCGCCTCGTCCAGCATCGGTGCAAAATTCCATGTACCGCTCAACAATCTTCGTGTAATAGCGTTCCTGGGCCTTGTAATCAAGAAGTCTGCGAGACCAGTCAGTAAACAGATGCGAGGCAAGTAAACAAACGCCAGGCATTGAAGCATGCGCCCATACGAACCTTTTGTCTCCCTTAGATGGCAACCCTATGGCTTCCAGGGGATCCAGATTGAGTGGCTTCAAGCGACCCCATGGTGTTGAGGCTGCGCGACCTCCTCGCGACGACATTGGAGAAGGTCGAAATGGGATGGACGACGTCTTGTCTTGGATGCGGGGGAGAAGAGAGGGGAACAGGGGAGAGGTCAACGGTCTACCATGTGAAAGCCCGATCCCGGTTAGCGCGCTTCGCTTGAGAAAATACCCCTGGCTGACTGCGGATGGGAGGCTTGCGTCAATGACACTCGTCCTCGTGGGGACTATCAGAAGCGGCTGAACCTGGCTTTTCTTGTACATTTTCCTTATTTCCTCCTTTGAATTCCGCCTTTCATCTGAGTTATCCTTTTGTTCTAGAGCTTGATTTCCGTTCCCGCAGGCCGCCGGATACGCAGGTTCCAGAGAGTTCACGGCATGACGCTTCAAACGTCAGTACGGCAGAGACGGCCGTCGACGACGGAAGTCATCGCGGACGCCGCAATAAAACTCGAACGGAAGGTCGAGAAGACTCTGACCATTCTCTGGGATGATCTGCCCTCCTGGCAGCGAGATAACCATTACATCACATCTGGATACCGGCCCGCCTCAGCCTCCTTCCGGAAATCCTTTGCAAGCCTAGGGTATCTGCATAATGAGTCCGTCAATATTTACTCTCATCTGCTCGGAGCCCTTGGGTTCAGCTGCGCTGGATTTATTCTCTATACCGTCATAAAACCTAGGTATCAGACTGCTACGTCCGCGGATATCCTCGCGTTTGGCTGCTTCTTCGCCGGTGCGGCGGCGTGTTTGGGCATGAGTGCTACATACCATGCTATTTCGAACCACTCACCCACGGTAGCCAAATTTGGGAACAAACTGGATTATGTCGGGATTGTGTTTCTCATTACTGGGAGTTTCGTCCCCAGCATTTTCTATGGCTTTTACTGCCATCCGCATCTGCAAGAGTTCTACTGGACTATGGTACCCCCCCGCCTCCCCCCTTCTCATTTCTTCCCATGTAAAGTTTCCTCTCGCTGATCCTTGTATAAGATATGCTCTCTCGGTCTAGCATGCACCACGGTATCCATCATGGAGCGCTTCCGCACTCCAGCCTGGCGTCCATACCGCGCCGGAATGTTCGTGGCGCTGGGTCTCTCGGCCGTATTCCCCATCTTCCACGGCCTGGAGCTGTACGGGATCCACGAGATGCGGGATCGTATTGGCTTGGTCTGGCTCGTTTTGCAAGGATTTCTCTATATCCTTGGAGCCGGGCTCTACGCGGTAAGTCTCAACTCAGTTAATGCGCGCTGTCTCGAACGCGGTACTGATGATGACAGGCTCGCTGGCCGGAACGCTCTGCGCCAGGCAAATTTGATATCTGGGGGAGCTCACATCAGATATTTCACGTGCTGGTGGTGATGGCAGCGTCCTCCCATTTGTATGGGCTGTTGAAAGCGTTCGATTACCATCATGGGGTTCTGGGTCTCAAATGCTAGATGGTAGAAGACGGAGCGACTTGTACAGAACACGCGGGGTCTCATGAACATTATAGACGCAACGAAATAGAACGCATGTCCCTTTTTACCTTTGGCAATTTAACCTCCAAAAACAGCCTTATATTTCTCACGTCATCCAGCTAGGTATTTGTCTTAACCCCAAGTTGCAGTGGGCTCAAGCCCCAAAAATATCACTGTTACGTACCAGACGCCGAAAACATCTTGTATCTGATTCGTAAAAAGGGACCGACAAGTACGAACACAAAGACCGCCCCTCCTTTCCATCCCTATCCCAAATTCCCCTTTCCGTACCGCCCCAGCCCCATCCAAAACCCAAGTTACTCAACCAAGTTACTCACCCAAGCACGCACACATCAATCTTTCGTAGTCGCCGCTCGTCTCCCCCTTTATACGGGACACAAGGCTTTTGTGGAAACGATGCTGGTAGGCCCCTTTAACCTGCTGCATATGGTTGCGATCCCAGTGCACGCGCACCACTCGCTGGACCAGCAGATGGTCTTTGGTGCCCATGCCATCCATGGCGTCTTCGAGGAGGAGCGCGTCGCGCATCGCCTTGTCAGTACCGGTGCGCAATTGGTGCAGGAGCGCGAGTTCCATGTGTCCAGAGAATTCCTATCGCCGAGTGTTAGTTCAATACTTCGGGAATGGAAGGTAGGAGAGGGACGAACCTTTTTGATAACGGTCTCGAGGTCGCGAGTAAACTTCTGTTTGTATGTATAGGCGATAGCGCCGATCTGCGCATCACTTCTCTGGGTAAGAATGCTACAGACTAGTAACTCATCCGTGCCTGTCTTGCCCTCCGTCGCCTTATACAATTCCATAACATCCTGGTCGATCTGCTGCGGAATCACTGGCGTAGATTCCTCATTCCTATTCGCCGCTAAGACCATCATGAAATGCCGTTCTGTCTTCATGGATAGGTCTCCTCTGATATCCGATTCGAGGGATTTGTGGTAGGTCTTGTGGTACAAGTCTTTGATCGCGCGCATATCGGCATTCGAGCGCCCAAGCAAGATATCATTGAGGATTTTCTCTTTGGTTCCAGGCCCAGATATAGCACTGTGCAGTGCCACGACGTCCTGTAGCAATGGTCCACGGATGATGGCACATAACCCCTCCATGAACCAACTACTTGTCTCACTCTGCACATCGTTCAAGAGGTGTCGCTTGAAGCGCTGATGGTATACTTCGCGCAACACGTTGATTTGGAGGGGATCTTTGTCCGCCAGGTGTCTGACGAGTGCCTTCTCGTCGGTCCCAAAGCCTTTCATGGCCTTTCGTAAGGCTTCGGCATCGGCAACACCGTCCCATGGAATATGCTGTGCGGGGCCATAGCCTAGAGATGGTGGGGTAGGTGGATAATTTTGTGCGGGCGGCGCACCGTAGGGTTGTGATGGATAGCCGCCTTGCTGAGGAGGGTACTGCTGGGGCCGTGGAGCGCCGTATGCTGGTTGTGGAGGTGGCGCGCCGTATGGTTGCTGCTGTGACGGGTAGCCCTGTTGAGGAGGATACTGCTGTGGAGGTGCACCATATGGCGGTTGTGCTGAAGGGTATTGTTGCGGAGGAGGAGCTCCATATCCTGGGTGAGGACTAGGTGCTCCGTATTGCTGTGGAGGGTATTGGTTTGGAGGAGCACCGTAAGGTGGCTGTTGAGGCGGGTATTGATTTGGGGGAGCGCCATACGCTGGCTGTTGAGGAGGATATCCTCCATAAGGTTGCGGGGGATCTGTAGTCAGTCGTCAGCTCAGCACATCGAATCCTTAAGCAAATAACTCACGTCCTGGTGGCGGCGCTGGCGGCGCACCGTAAGGGTTGTACCCTTGGTTTGGAGGTTGGTATGCCATATCTTGTTGAATTGTATATCTGCGAGTCTGCGAGGTCAACCTGGATGGAGGAGGTTAATGAGGGCAGCCAACGAGGCTGTGTTGTAGCAAGGTTTTTGTGTCAGCGCTTGGCGGTGCCAAGGCCTTCCTCTTCCCAGTAAATTGAGCGAATAAGAGGAAACACAAGAGCAATTGAGGAACTGGGAGGAGCAGAGCTTGACCCCATCAGCGAGGGCTTTGATGGGTTTCCCAGTATCCAGGAGGATCGTGAAGTCTGGTTGAAGGGAGTCAGTCGTTGGATTTGGGATGTCAAATGATGTCATGTCAGTGCTGCTCGCTGGACCCTGGAGATCTACCTGACAACACTGCTGTAGGTACTGGCCTGTTTCCAAACGCATTATCAACTTTCACCCAACGTTTCCGCACAGTAAAAGCAGCAAGCGCGGTCTAGTGGGAGAGATTCGAGCGAGTCCCTCTGAACATGAACTGTCTTATTGCAGCAGACAACCTGCATTTACCAGCCATGCGGTAGGTCCATTGCGATCACTTTGCTTATATCAATGCGCTGTTCAAGACATGCCCTGAGAAACCTCAAACATTACTCGCAGTACTGGGGCATTTCTCGCTCTCTGCGACGGGTTCTACACATCTCCCCCAGAATGGGCGGACAAGCCTTCGCTTTGTCCAAACCCCCTCTTCACACTCCTCGCATGCCCCCCGAAATATATGCCCAAGTCCGGGCGCAGACCCATTCCATCCTCCGGAAATATTACAGCCACGTGGACTCCGCCATCGAAGCCCCTGCCAAGGAGAGTTATGGAGACGTCGACACGTACGTTTACGGGCCGCTGGATACTGCCTTCGAGTCTTCGGAGACGGGCTCTATTGTTGTAGCGCAGAATTTGGCTAAGGTGCTGGGTGCGACGAAGTTTATGAGACAGACCCGGGATCCGATTATTAATTTGGCCATTCCATGGCCTGAACGAGGAGACGAGGAAGAGGAAGAGAAGAAGGAAGGGAAATACGTTCAATTAGACGTCAACATCTGCTCAACATTGACATCGTTCACATGGTCACTTTTTCATTCAGCGCATGGCGATCTCTGGAATATCCTCGGGTCGACCATCAGACCGTTCGGGCTAACCGTCAATACTCGAGGGATGCATCTTCGCATCCCTGAGATTGAGTTGCATGACCGGAAGAAGAGTATGATATTTCTGACTAATGAACCGAGCCAAATTCTTAAATTCTTGGGTCTAGACGAGGAGAGATGGTGGAGACCATTCGGCAACTGGGAAGAAATGTTCGAATATGCAGCTGGATGCCGGATGTTCTTCGTCAAAGAGAGTGTGGATGATAAAGGGGCGCCAGGAGAGGCCACGAGCGAAGGTGAAACTAAAGGAAACGGAGATGTTGAAGGGCAGATAGGCGGAGAGGAGGGAAAGAAGAAACTGAAGTCTAACGATCGGCGGCGGATGGCTAAACGTCCTATCTTCAAGGCATGGATGGATGAGTTTATCCCTAAGTGTCGAGAGCGGGGTACCTTTGAAAATGCGAGGGTCACCAGGAAGCAGATCCAGGAAGAAGCCATCCGAATTTTTAACATCAAGGAGGAATACCAGACGAGATTAAGAGAATGGAACCTGGAGAAGCAAAAGGGTGATCTTTGGAGAGAAATACTGCTGGACTGCGTTCCACTCGAAGGTGTGGATCCGGTGCTTCGAGCAGCAGCGACTAGAACGTTGAAGAGCACTATCATGGATGGACTGGAGTTTGATGGTGTGGTTCCACGAGCTTCCTGGAAGGATGATGAGGGTCTCTATGATCAGGGGGAGGTGAGGCGATTCGTACAAGAGAATTGGGAGAGAGCGGGACAGATTGGGTTAGCGAGGCAGGAGGCTCGCTCACTGGAGAGAATAAAGGCAAATACGGGGAAGAAAGCAAAAGAAAATGAAGTATTGGCAGAGGTCGAGGACAGAAAGCGTAAAGAGGCTCCTGTTTGAGATAGTTGGTAGACTTCGATTGCTAATGTCTAATGGATTGCAAAATCTACCTCTGTTCTTGAATTGCGTACCTACCACTTTTCCACATGACCGTGTCCTGATGCGAGCAAAGTGGGTTGGCAGAACTGCCATGCAGGCAAAGTGACCTCTGAATTTACACAGGCTCTAACGTTGATCTCCTTGTGCCTAGCTAAAATCTCCAGATATTTACACCAAATCCATCAACGATATTTGACGATTCAGGAAGTGGTTCATCGTCCAAGTCTGCCCTTTCAAAACCCCAAAAACCCCTAGGTAACTAGTATAGATGTTCGTTTATTTATGCCAGCAGATATAAAGCACTTACGTCTGGGCCAAAGTCCGGTCAAAGAGTACCTTCTCTGACAAATTATGGTAGATTATAAAAACCTCGAGTGCGCATCCTCCTGCAAGCAAAGTTTCATTGATACATCCAGATATTAGGGTAATATAAAATCATCTTAGCTCACTCAAAAATAACTGTCAACTGTAGCTTGACAAGATGTTTCTCACTTGATGTCAAGTCATCCAATCCCGGTGCAAATAGAACCAGGCATTTTGGACATGGCAATGACATGTAAATGGCCTCCTGGCCAAATGTATTACCTATGCTGCTGGTGTGATTCCGATTCAATATATTCTGGGATATTAGGATGATCGCGATCGTAACATTCTCTAAGGGCTTGACATCAAATTGAACGACTGTGTTGCCGTTTTAATGACACTTGTCTGTTCCCTATCATCATCGTCGGGATCTGGAAACAGCCTATGTTGAGCAATCAATAAATATATGAAATTGATTAGAAAAAACTTATTGTATGTAGGTAAAGCTTGTCACTTGATAATTACCTCCAGATCCGTATTAATGTTACGAGCCTCAAAGATACCTAGCTTTGCGCTCATTTGATTCCCGCAGGATTCTCTCAGCCATAAGGCGAGTAAGTGTGAATGGAGAATTAACCGTAATGACAGTCCCCTCCATATGTTTTCAAGGTTCACCCTTCAGGAAATGGATTCTCTTCATCGTGAATCGAACATGAATATGAATTGTCGTGAAAAGAGATAAATGTGGTGGATGCAGGAGCTGAATCGCCAGAGATTTGATTTCATCTTCAAATTTGGAGGGCGTGAACTTTGATGGAAGGACGCGACAATGAGGAGAGGCTGAGTTAAACTCAACACCATCAAACTAAACCGCAACTGGTGCCTTAGGTACAGTAGACTGTAGATGCCAGATCTTGCGTAGGGGCTGCATGCAGGCAGTAGGTACTTTAGAGTACGGAGTATTACTCCGTACTAAGCAACCTACCTAAGATATCTAATCGCTCTGCCTCCAGCGTTCCATCATACCTCCGTATGTATTTCTACGTCCTACCTACTGTATGTCCCATGTACCTTTACCGTGTGCCAGGTTCTGGATCACGTGATTGGCACCTACAGCCGTGGTTAAGTCCAGAAAGGGGATTCGACGGGGTCCAGAGGAGACCGGAGGCGGCTGCTTGAGAGTTTATCATATTTGCAGTGCTATACAATGCACGCTGTATACATAGTGTTGCAGATATAAAGTGCAAACAATAAAGGCATTCGCAACAAAGGAGTTGGGCGAGGAAGGGACCGGAAAGGGAAGAGCTTGGGAATGGAATCTTACGTAACAACTCGTCTACAGCCAACAACAGTGCAGTAGAACTTCGTAGAGCCAGGGTTTTAGGTACACAAAGCTAAAGCCGGATAAAATAGCTCGGCAACATATTAAATGACCGTAGATGATAATTGGCTCTTCTAGGATTAGTAATCTCTCGTATTAATTAATGATTAGTAATATGATAGCGCGATTGTCGCTAGCGCAGTTTTACTTTACTTTACTATAAATGATAAAGGTTTAGTCCCCCGCTCTTGTGGCCAGACTTTATTACTATTAACTCGCGCATGGATGAGTACACTCGCCTTTACTTTATGCAGCCAGTAGCACTTGTCACCTTGCTGCTAACGACTTAACAGTCAAGTACGTTCATTGCGCTTGATTCCTTGCTATACCCCTTGCGTCGCGATTATCTCACCTATTCTATCTTATCTCGTCCTCAATCTCTTCGTTATCCAATCCGCGGTGCCGTTCGGTTGCGATTGCCGCGTGTAAGGCGTTTCGCGTTTAGCTTTTATTGTTTATTACTAATAATAACTACTATAAAAGCTGACTAGCACCGCGTGCTAAATAGGGCAACTAGTTCCTCACCCTAATAAGGCAAGGTCCATCGCGGATCCGTGATAAAGAACCGCGACTTATTACCCTGGGCTCAACCCCGTGGTCTTCTATCCGAGCATTAAAAGTGTCAAAGAGCAGAACTCGATTCGACTTCACCTTTGCTTGACACTGCAACAAACATGCCGGATTCGTTGCCTGTGGACGCGGATGTGGAGATGGACTACTCAACCCCTGTTGAGAGCTCTGAGGGTTCTCCTGGCGATCGACGCGTCGCCACCGCGTCCAATGAGGGGATGCCTGACGAGAGCAAGCCCTTGGACGGGAATCATGTGACTGGAGGGGATACCCATCGACATCCCTCACCTTCAGAGGGACGACGTGCCTCTTCAGCGTCAAGAGACAAATCGATAGATCAAACTCAGAATTCAGGTAGATCTTCACCACCCGCGCAAGAGACCCCGGCTCCCGCAAGAGTTGAAACAGTAGAGCACATCTCGTCTACACCAGCCACCGCGTCGAAGCTACCAAACTCGGTCAAACTTGATAAAGAGATCGCCAGACTGACCGAGGTCGTTCGAGAAACATCATCCCAGGCGGCAGGAAAAGTGCTCCAGAAGTACTGGAGAGAATTCCTCTTCAAGGATAATGATGACGAGCATCTGTGTTGGATCCTGCGAGCAGGGCTCAAGAATGCGACTCCTAATGTTATTGAGAGGGTCATGAGAGAGCAGAATGTCTCCCATGCTCTCATTGATAAAGCCTCCAGGAAGAAGCAAGTTGTCAAGACCGTGTTGAACAACGCAACTTACGCTCAACTGCTTGATTACGTGCCCGAGGACGTCCTCGACCGGGCTCTGTCTGAACGTCTGAAGAACGCTCCGGCGAAACAGATCATCAAGTGGTTGGCTGAGGCTGAACGATTAGGGTTTCGCGAGGATGATATTTTGGATGACGAGGATGAATCAGTTATACCGTTCATGGGGCCCGACTCTCAAGATGGCGATGCGGAGATGACAGACGAGCCGACACATCAGAATCTTGCTGCGCACGACAGAGACCCGCTTCTTGCAGAACAGGAACGGAATGCTGCTCTGTTACAACAGCAAGCTCCCCGAGCTCAACCTGTCAAGAACGGCCCTGCTCCTCTGATGTGTCCTCTCTGTTATCACCAATTCACGACCCAGTCAGGCTATAACTATGTAAGTCAGAGTGTTGATATTATGACCTCTGCTAATGCATCGCAGCATCTATTAAAGAAGGTCTGCCAAAAACGGCCACCGGCTGGGGGTTTCAAGTGGATCTGCGGAAACTGTGCTCAGGGCTTCACGACAAAGCAGGGGATGCAATATGTCAGTACAGTCCGCAGTCCAAGTGATGAATGTTCCAGGCTGATGTTAGTAGCACGTAAATTTCAAGAAGGTATGCATGGAAGAGGGTATAGCTCCGGCTACATCTCCTTCTCTACAGTTGCAGCGCGAAGCTGGCAATGCGGTTACCTTGCCTCCGCAGCGCCATACTGAGCCTATCTTACCACCGCCTCGACCAACGTTCTCCGCTGCACCTCAGTATGGTGGACCACCTCAATATGGAGCTCGACCGCCCCAACATGAGATTCCTCGACCGCCTCAATTTGAAGCTCGACCACCCCAACATGAATTTCCTCGACCACCACCACCACCACCACCACCACCTCATTACGAATCTCCAAGGCCAACCTTCACACCACATGCACATCCACAGAGCGCACCTCGCCCGGCTCAATATGAACCTCCCCGATACTCGCCTCGACATGAGCCCCCATCCTCCCAGCCGGCCCGCCCATCCATGGGCGTCACCATCCCGCGCCCACCCCTTTACACCCCTTCAAGTCAGCCTGCTCGTCCCACCCACCACTCCCCACCACTCTCTCAAACCCCCACCTCCGATTCCTCCCGTCGCCAATCCCCCTCCGAACTTCCTCCTCAAAAGCTCGCCGAGCTAAACAAAGCTCTTTCCGATCAAGAAGCCCGCTATCAATCCCTAATCGCCGGGGTCGACCCGCACCTCTCCCCGGCCGACCGCGCCGCCAAGCTCCAATCCCTCAAGAACGCCAACGCCACCCGGAAGAGCCAGATCCGCCGCGCCTTCGGCGTCACCATCCGCATGAAGGAGCGCGACAAGCTAGCCCGCGACGCCGCCTCGACCCCGACGCCGACCTCGACGAGCTTCGACGCATATCGCGCCACCGGCTTCGCGCCTGTTAATTCCCAGCCTGGCTCGTCGCTCTCAATTCATAGCTACGTCCCGCCGCCGCCGAAACGTCAACGGGTGGAGGAACCGGCTGCAGAGCGGAAACAGCCATCGACCCAAGGCGCGAGCGAGAGACGGCCGTCGATGGGTGGAGAGAGACGAGAATCGGAGAGACGCGCTTCCATAGGTGCAGTACGCAAAGAAGGAGAAAGACGAGCGTCTATAGATACAGTACGCAAAGAAGGAGAAAGACGTGCTTCCATAGATGCAGTACGCAAAGAAGCAGAAAGACGTGCCTCCATAGACGCAGTACGCAAAGAAGCAGACAGGAAACAAGCACAAGCAGAAGCCATAACGATCCTTTCAGACACCGAGAGTGAGGACGAAGATATGGATATGGATAATGACAGGGGACGCGCGAGTGCGAGTAGAGGGTCGTTTATGGCGAGGAGGGGAGGGAAGCGATAGATAAGGTAGCTTGATTTCATGATAGATGATGGATGGTAGATGGTAGATGGATGATGGGTGGAGGGTGGAGGCGTTTTGCTCGTTTTTGCGTGTGATGTTGTACGTGTGATGTTGTATCAGTAGGGAATAATGGATAATTGGTCAGTTAGGAAATTAGGAAATTAGGAAATTGGGATCCTATCCTTCTTTAGATATTCTCTCTCCATCGGGAATCATCATATCATATCATATCATATCATATCATCACGCACCGTCCTTCACTCCCTCTAAAGCTAACTAACTTCCTTCTGGTCAATCAACGCAAAGTTAAGTTAAGGTATACAAAACATGCACATCCGTCTCTCCTCCCTCCGTCCATCCAATTATTAATCCATTAATTATTCTCCCCCCTCTCTCTCTCTATCTAATCTAAGTAAAAGCCCTCTCATCTCCTCCTCCTTCCTACCTTCCTATCTCATCTCATCTCCTCTCCTCTCCACTATCTATCTATCTTCTCACCCTCCCTCCCTCCCTCGATACCGGTATGAATTCATTCTATCTCCGCACGCACACACGCACACACGCACACACACAGCATCAATCAGCACAGCCCATGTTCCAATTTCTCATCCCCTCCCCTTCACCTTCCCCCCCACTTCACTTCTCCCTCTCAAAAAACAAAAACAAAAAACAAAAACAAAAAACAAAAACAAAAAACAAAACATACCGCCCTAGTATCCAACCCCCCCCCC